TCAAATAATGGAGCAAAGCAGGTTTAGTCGAAAACTTTGTTACATTTCACTCAGTGTTGTTTAATAACAATACCAATTTTTTAAAAAATGTTGTTGTAATGATGTCTTTTGTTTCTACATCATAGACATGACTAGCCATAGTCACTTCCTCCCAGAATCCTCCCTTGTAATGATAAAAAAAAACAGTTATATAAAACCAACTGGCCTAGAAACCACATTTGACAGTGCATGTAACACTCTGCACCCACAAGTTCCTTACGGCCATAACAATTTGAAAGGCAAACTGAAAAACTTCCAGGTTGGCTGAGTTTTAGAGAGGTTAAATTAAATTGCCAAGATCAAATAACTAATCAATGGCAGATCCAGGATTAGGACCTAGGTACCTTGACTCTAAATCCAGTATCTTTTGCATGGCACCATGCTGTAACTTATAATTTTTTTTTTTTTTTGGTGAGGGAGAGGAGGAATAAATTGATTATCAACTGGTATATGTATGTTACTTTGGTTACTTTGGTACATTATGTTATTTAGCATTTGAATTTTATGTTTTATAGAAAAGAACAATTAATTTAACTCTATTGGACTGCACAAAGGATGCTGGATTTAGTGAGAGAGGAACTAGTTTCAAATTTCAGCTCTGCCTCTATACCACTAATGTGACCTTGGGCAAATCATTTCACTTTTGTTTCTTTATCTGTTAAAAAAAAAAAGGAGGTTGCATTAGGTAGCATCCAAGGTTCCTTCCCTGTGCCTCAACATGGCAGCAAAGGTGAGGTGGGATGGGGGGAAGGGAATGAGGTCTATTCAGTTCACACTACACCAAAAAGAGATCAGATTTAATTTATTTAAGGCTTCTGCTGAAAAGAGAGCATGAACAGTAAACAACAGTATAAAAATAGGCCCTGTAGATGAGTCATCTGTGTGGCATCAATGACTTTTTAAAGAGTAATGTTTCAAAAATTAATTAAGATCTAGTTGAATGATAATGCTAATTAGCGTCAGATGAATAGATTAGGTCAGTGGTTTTAAACTTTTTTTTTTCCGTCAGACTACCTGAATGGAACAAAGGATCTTATGGACCATCTCAAATATTCTCTTTTGCCACCAACATCAACTCTCTTTTTTTTGTTTGTTTTTGGTGAGGCAGTCAGGGTTAAATGACTTGCCCAAGGTCACACAGCTAGGTTGTGTAATTTGTCTGAGGCCAGATTTGAACTCAGGTTCTCCTGACTCCAAGGCCAGTGCTCTATCCACTTCAACACCTAGTTGCCCCTAACATCAACTCTCTTCACCCGCTTCCTCTATCTCCTCCCCACAAGAAAAAAACAAAAAAACAAAAACAAAACCCACTGTTTTCACAGAACAAGACCCTTTGAAACACTCCACTTTGGGCTATCTCACCCTTGTTATTTGAACCCAGGTTGTCTTGACTCTGAGATCAGCTCTCTATCCGTCATACAATGTTCTCTATGATATTTCGTGACAATTGTTTGGTTAATTCCATCGATAACAAGTACTCTCTCTCTCTGGCCTCCCTTTCCCATAAAGAGGCCAGATACATCTTCCTCTCAGGGTTCTAAAGGAGTATCATTGAGGGGTGGGGGTGTTTTTATATATCCTCTTGAGGCCCTATTCTGGGTGTGGTTCCCCTTCCCTCATTCCATACTGTTAGCCTCCACTGACTAGTCCCTCAGTTTGTTTTAACCAATCCATCAGTTAGATTTTTACAAAAGAATATCTACTTTGAGGATATAGCAAGAATAGGAGTATGAACATTCCCCCTCAATACCTTGGGACCCTATTTTCCCATACACCATGTCAGTATCTGAGGAGAGTGGGCTAAGACTTAAAGCAGTTTCTACATAAGACTGGTTTCACCAAGTTCACTTCCAAATGCAGCATCTCACCACTGGACGAGTCCTCATCTCAGCTACCACCCTTTTTAGGGAATTACTGGTCTGGCTGTAAAACCTGGTATGGCCTCAACTCCCAGACCTTGAGTGACTTGTTCTCTTGACTCACAAAATTGCAACCTCCAGTTTCTTTTACCTACAATGAAAGAGAAAAAACTGAGGTCTACTTTCACAGAGTCAAATGTTGGTTTGGAGGGATAGGGCCCAAGTCCCCTCCCCTTAAAGTATTGTCTTCCACTGGAGTTGTCAGCAAGCAGTCAGAAAAGCAGAGATAAAACCAAGAGAGAAAGGCCCTGACTCTTCTTGGCTAGTCTATGGTGAATACACTCCCAGCCAATCAAAAGGGCTCTTCTTCATCACATGGTTAACAAACAACCAGGAGTTATATAATAGCCACCAGTGCCCCAAAGTCTCTCCAAGACACTTCAATTGCCCTTCATTATTCTCTGGGAAGCAAACTCTCCAGCCTCCTCCTTGTGGAGGGAATTGAATCAATGGTACTCTGCACATGCTCACAAGAAATGGCCAGTCCCATTACACATAAAAGTATGGTGCTTGTTAAGAGCTAGTTGCTGTTAGCCCTTGCAAGTCATGACATCACCTGCCTGATGTCATGGTCCTCTTCCAGAACCAAGGACAAACAACAAGGTGAATTCCTTACTTGATCACTCTGTGACTTAGTTCTGCTCTTAGGGGATGCTGTAGATTTGTTATTGTAGTTTAAGCTAAAGTATAATCATCTAAATCCTTTTTATTTGATAGTTTCATTTCTTTAAGTTATCCATACTTTTAAACATAAAATAAAGACTTAAAAAAAACAAACATTTCAACCATTGCTTTTTTTTTTAAACCTGAAAACTAGGGCTCAGTTGTTGCTGTTGTGTATGTTTTACTTAAGTCATTTTTCTATGGCTCTTGAAATAGCTGGGTCCTGACATTACTGTGTTGCACTGAGGCTAGAAAACACTTCCAAGAAGAATCACAGTACTTTAAGCTCAGACCTTGCAGCCATCATTGTGGGAGCAACCTTGTGGAAAAAGGGTATGATGTCCCTGCCATCATCAATACCAACTGCCAAGGGGCTCACCTGAGAACAATAAAACCCAGTCTAGTCCCCACAGTCACAGGTTAGGGAAGTAGCTCTTGTGGAAATGCAGCATCCTCTCCCTCAGCAGCCACAGTTACTATCAAGAAAAGAAAATTCTAGGTGGGGCGGAGCCAAGATGGCAGAGTAAAAGCAGTAACTTGCTTGAGCTCTCCCCCAAAACCCCTTCAAATACCTATAAAAAGTGACTCTAAACAAATTCTAAAGCAGCAAAACCCACAAAAAGACAAAGTGAAACAAGAAAAGAAAATTCTAGACATTAAAGATCTCAATACTGTCAAAATGGTTGAGCTCAGAAATGGATATGACCTTGGATAATGGAAGTGACATTAAAGAAGATACATTAACAACAAGTCAGCAAGCACTTATTAAGCACGTCCTATGTGCAAGGAACTATGTGCTAAGTCCTGGAAATGGATTTGTATTTACAGTAAAAAGAAAGTCCCTGCCCTCAAAGAGCTCATATTCTAATGGAGGAAGACAGTACATACACGGAAGCTAAAAAGAGCTGGGGAAGGAAGGCAAGGGATGGTATCTCCATAGGGAGATGTTAGGAAAAGTCCAGAATACCAAAATTACAGCTTGGAAAGGAACAAAGTCATGGCTGGTCTGGGCTTCCTCCATGAAAGAAAGCCCTGGGAGGAATCCATCAATCAGAGGAAAAGGCCACAGGGGCTGTTGTGAGAAGTCTGGGGGTAATGTGAACTTCTTGGGTGAAGATATTTTTTGTGTCATTGTAGAGTATGGATAGGAATGATTTGCCGCTAGGTAGGGACTGTGGTAAAGTCTTTTTTCTGACTTGCAGCTCCAACCTCCTACATCTGTCTTCTTCCACATTAGAATGTGAGCTTTTTGAAAACATGTTCTTCCATCTGTATCCCTAGTGCACACTAATTCTTAATTCATTCTTTATTATTCATTTTGTTGGAAATATTGCCTCAAAAAAGGATTATTTACATGATTTATAGACTGCACCCCACTAATATCCTACTCTTAGATAAGATACCTGATCTTCAGGTAGAAGCAGAGTTATACCAGATAAGCAGGAGCTTGGCAGGGCTTATCAAGGTGGACAGGCTTTGAGTGCAGTTTTGGCTGCTCTCTGAAGATCAGCCTTACTTAAATAGAAAGCTTGGCCTCCTGTTTGTTTTGTTTTGTTTTTTTGTGGGGTGTAAAATTAGAAACCATCTATTAGTAGCAACCTGCATCTGTGTAAACTGAGCCAGCATACATTGTCACAGGCCATTTTAAGTAGCTGTAGCTAAAACTAATAATAGCTCATATTTCCAAACTAGTCAAAGTCCTACAAAATACTTTCCTCCAACAATTCTTCCTGTGTTAGGTAGAAATATTTTGCAAAGACAGAAATAAGTTCAGCGAGATGAACTGTTTTGTCCACAGCCTATTCCAGTAGCTGTGTTAGCTCCTAGACCCAAACTCAAATTAAAAAAAAAAAGAAAAGAAAAAAGTCCCAGGTTCTTTGTACAGTATCAGTCTGTCGCCTAGCTGATGGAAATAAATTAAGCAGCACACAAAGTCTGTAGGGCATCAGCCAGGCTCAGCTCTGGGAGCTCAGCCTCTGGAAAGCATCTCTACGCAGGCAGGAGGGAGGAGGGGGAGGAGTCTCCCAGCTTGAAATCCTCCTTTGGCGACCACTTCTGCAGGTCGCGAACTTTTCGCGGCAGGGGGGCGGCAGAGGGGGGCCGCTCGCGAAAGAAGTCGCGGTTTGGTTACGATCCAGGTGACAAAAACACCTGCGTAGACCGGAGGGAGGGGACAGGTGGAAGGGGACCGGGTGGAAGGGGACCGGGTGGAAGCCGAGCCAAGGAGAACAGAAGGACGGCGTCACATGACGCCAACCCGCCCACCCGCGCCCCGCCCCCTCGGTGGTCTCGGCCCCGCCCCGCCGCCATGTTGAGCCCTACGCTCTAGATGGAAGCGGCTGGGGCCGGAGCCGGAGCCGGGCGCTACCCGCGGCGCCTCCGCCTTCTCTTCCCTCCCGCACCCCCGTCCCGCGCGGGGCCGACTCGTCCCCGGAGCGGCCTTCCGCTGTCTCCGGCCGCGACCAGGTGAGCGGGGAGGCGGGGACACCGGGGGGCGGGTGCTTGCTGCTGCGCGCTCCGGGACCTCCGAGCCCCGGCCTCCCCGGAGCCGGCAGGGGACCGGGGGGGCCGGGGGCGCCCGGAAGAGTCCGGTCGGGTCGGGGGCGGCCCGCATAGTGCACGGAGGTGCGCCTGGGGGTCCTCCTTCACCTCTGACCTCGTCCTGCCCGACGCTTTTGCCCTCTCCCCCCTTTCCCCGGGGGTGTGACGCGCCCGGCTCGGCGGGAGGGAGAGGACATGGCTACTTCCTCCGCTTCCCGGCGGGTAGAGGGTGTCCGACCACGGCCCCCTCCTCCCGGCCCCGCTCCCCACCTCCCGTCGCTGCCCCAGTGGGCCGGGAGCCGCCGGTGCGCCCTGGAGACTTCAGCGCCTGCTCCGCCAGTGCCCCCGGAACCCGGGGTTGCCTCGGTTGTTTTGGGTTTGCCTTCTTCCAGCTCTGTGAGACGGGGCGAGAGTGTTAAGCGTTCACCCGGGAAGTTTGGGGGTGGGGGGAGAGAACGCCCCGTCTCGTGACCCTTGGTCTTCGGAGGAGTAACTTTGTCTTCCCAGTTCCTTCTTCGTCACGTGACCGGGCTGGTTTTCTCGCTTGCATAAAAATCTTTAAACTTAGGTTATTTTGGTTTTAGGACCATCCCCCAGTGTCTCCTTTCCCCTCCCCCCCATCCTGCGTGAAGCTTTCTCGCTCATAGAAAACAAAAAGTCTCAGCTGGTAGCATTGGAAGGAACTCCATGGGGTGCAACTAGAAAAGAAAACACGGAACTCTTTATTCAGGAACTTAAGTCTGTGCTACTGTGTTTCTTTTGCTTGGAGTTATGTTAAAGCAAGCTTTTTCAGGTTAAATTAATTTTAAATTAATTTATTTTTAGTTTTCAACAATCACTTCCAAAAGCTTTTGAGTTTTAAATTTTCCATTCTTTCCCTCTGTTGTTCTTATTCCTTTCTCTCCACTCTAGATCAGGTGCTTTGGAATGCTTGAGTTGTACAAATGCTAGTCAGTCTTTTGACTTTAAAGTCACATTCAAATAAAGAGCTCACTGTCTTATCAATAAATTATTGGCCCTAGGATATATCAAACGTCATCAGGCAGTGACTAAACGCCTATCTCCAAATATCACTATGTCCTTCTGTCTTGACTTTGTATATAGTCTTAGAACTTGGAAGGAAACTTAAATAAATGTGTAGTCCACTTCCTTGAGGAGAACTGGACTTCGGAAGAGTCAGATTATTCAAGTGTAGTGAAATTGGTGACTTAGAAATGAATGTTTGATTAAAGTATTTCAGGTACAATTAGTAATTTTAATATGGAGGTCAGTAGATTGAAAGCCTATTGAGACCTTTGAGTATGGGTAGAAATGCTAAAAAGAAAGTGATATAATTTTATCAGTTTTTGAAGGGAGTATAGGAGATACTGACTTCAAGTCCTGGCTTTGCAACTAGCTTAGCTGCTACTTTGGGAGAAGTCATGTATGCTTTCTGGACCTCAAATTTCTCATCTTTAAAAATGAAGGAGCATACTAGAGACCAGCTTCTAATCCTCTATGTGATTTTATGGCATAATAGAATTGCAGGCCAGTGTATTATAATGTGTGCTGGAGCTGGAGTCAGGAGATAGGGATTCAAATCCTTGCTTCTTTTTATGACCTTGTGAACTTTCCAAAGACACTTCACTACTTTGGGCCCCTTGATCTTCCCATGCAAAAACTTGAGTTGGACTAGATGACCTCTAAGGTTCTTACAAGCTCTGAATTTGATTTTTCTAAAAATTGATGGTTAAGCAGGAGATACATATTCCCAAATTTTGTACAATTTCAAGGGAAAAAATACCTAATTTGCAATCATAGAAGTCAGATTTCTATCAGAGTATGCCAATTGAGTACTAAGTTGTTCTTAAAGTAGTTGTCATCTAAAGCATTTATGCATGTTTTTGTATAGCAACTCACTAGTAAACCATGTGGAGAATTAAGCAATGGACCCTTAGACACATATTAACAAATATTAACAGTATTTGATCATTATGTAAGCATTAAGGTTTATCAAGTATCTTACATAAATTATTTCATCTGTTTGAGGTCTAAGATGCACACTTAATCCTAGAAAAGAATCAAATATTTGTGGCATGGATGAAGAAGAAAGTGCTTTTGTCAGGGTAATTAATCCAAGGGGCACGTAAGAAGTTCCCTTCTGGGGTTGGAGTGACAGAAGATATCGAGACACAGTTGGTAAAATTGGTAAGTATTATCAAAAGTGGTTTCAGATCTTGACTCTGCTACTTAATACCAGTTTGATTAAAGGCAAGCCTCTTAATCTCCCTGGGCCTTAGTTTCTTAATCTGTAAAATGTCGTACAAGGTCTCTTCTGGCTCTAATTTCTGTGAAAGAGCACTGTTTTCCAACCAGTGATTCTTGGTAATTTGGTGTCTCATGAAGATTTTTTCAGTGTCCTTATACATTACATATTTTATGTTTGCCAATTTTTGCTTTTTTGTGGGGAGAAGCAAGTGATACAGATTTAGCGATGACATAGTTTTAATCATGGGAGATAGAGGCCTAACACTATCCATTGTGCCACCCAGCTGCCAAGTATGGAGGTGACATGGTCAGACTGGGGCTCTATGAAAACCACTTTAATTTTGGCAGCTGAGTGGAAGATAAGACTGGAGTGAATCAGGCTGAGCTACCAGCAGACTATTAAAATAATCTAGGTGTGAGGTGATGAGGGCCTATACCAGGGTGGAGGCAGTGTCAGAGGAGAGAAAGGGACATATTCAACAAATGTTGTAAAGGCAAAATTGACAGGCCCTGGCAACATATTGGCTATGAGGGATAAGAGTGAGGAATTAGGGATGACATCTAGGTTGCGAACTTAGGGGACTGGAAGGATGGTGGTGTCCTTGACAGTATTAGGGAAGTTTTAAAGTGGAGGTGGGGGGAGGGTGGGGGAATGAGTTCAGTTTTGGACATGCTAAGTTTAAGAAGTCTAGTGGACATCCAGTTGAAAGGTAGTTGGAGATTTGAGACTGGGTTAGCAGAGAGGTGAGGGTTGGAGAGGTAGATTTGAGAATTCATCAGCATAAAGATAATTAAATCCATTGGAACCGATAGTCACCAATTAGGATAGGGAGAAGGAAAGAGGGCGAAAGATAGAACCTTGAAGGACACCTGGTTAGAGGGTATGATCTGGAAGAGGATTCAGCAAAGGAGACAGAGAAAGATCAATCATATATAGGTAGTATAGGTAGAAGGAGAACAGGGTGCCCCAGAGAGAGAGAGAGAATGTCAGGGAGGAGGGAGGTCAAAGAGAATGATTGAGAAAGTAGAATGGGTTGCCCCAGGAAATCTTGGGACAGTCATTCCTGGAGTTCATCACACTGAGGTCTGCTCACCTCTAGTTGTTTGAAAGGGTGTACTTATTTAGGTATGGGTTAGGTTATGTGACCTTTGAGGTCTTTACTAAGGCTGAGATTTTCTGAAATAAGTAATAGATAACTAGATCATCCAACTGAATATTGGGAGTGGGGGTTGAGGGAGACATTTAATCATGTGTGCTTCACAATTGTGAAGGTCAGAGTCAGAAAATTTGATTCTTCTGACTTTATCACTGATAGTTTCTGTTTCATAGTAAGACTATATTTTTGATTTTTAAAATGTTATTTTATATTTTAAATACATGTAGTTGGTTGAAATGAAAGAATGAGTATATGGATATACCTTGGTACATATCAACACATCTTTATAAAGAATAAGATCCTATAAGAACTCACTATTTGACAAAAACTGCTGGGAAAACTGGAAAAGAGTATGGCAGAAACTAGGCATAGACCAAAATCTCATATACCAAAATAAAGTCAAAATGGGTTCATGATTTAGATACAAAGGCTGATACTGTAAGCAAACTGGGAGAGCAAGGAATAGTTTACCTATCAGATTTATGGAGAACAGAGGAATTCATGACCAAACAGGAAATAAGAGAACATTACAAAATGCAAAATGGATAACTTTGATTACATTGAAAAGTTTTTGCACGAACAAAGCCAGTGCAACCAAGATTAGAGGGAAAGTAGAAAACTGGGAAAGAATTTTTACAACCAATGTCTCTGATAAGGGTCTCATTTCTAAAATATATAGAGAATTAAGTCAAATTTATAAGAATACAAGTCATTCCCCAGTTGATAAATGGATATGAACAGGTAGTTCTCAGATGAAGAAATTAAAGCCGTCTATAGTCATATGAAAAAATGCTTTAAATCACTATTGATTAGAGTAATGCAAATCAAAACAACTCTGAGGTACCACATCACACCTATCAGATTGACCAAGATGACAAAACAGGAAAACGATTAATGTTGGAGAAGATGTGGGAAAATTGGAACACTAATGCATTGTTGGTGGAGTTGTGAAATGATCCAACCATTTTGGAGAGCAATATGGCACTATGCCCAAAGGGCTATAAAAGTGTGCATACCCTTTGACCCAGCCAATAGCACGTCTAGGGCTGTATCACAAAGAGAGCATAAAAATGAGAAAAGGACTTACATGTACAAAAATAGTTATAGCAGCTCTTTTTGTGGTGGCAAAGAATTGGATATTGAGAGGATGCTCATTAACTGGGGAATGGCTGAACAAGTTGTGGTATGTGAATGTAATGGAATACTATTGTGCTGTAAGAAATGATGAGCAGGCAGACTTCAGAAAAACCTGGAAAGACTTGTATGGTCTGATTCGGGTAAAGTGAGCAGAACCAGGAGAACATTGTACACAGTAACAGCCACATTGTGTGATGACTAATATTGATAGACTTAACCCTTCTTAGCAATGCAAGGATCTAAGGCATCTCCAAAGGCCTCATGATGAAAAATGCTATCCACATCCTAAGAAGAACTATGGAGTTTGAATGCAGATTGAAGCATATTATTTGCTCTTTTTTTCTTCTGTTGTTTTATATCTTCTTTCTGGTGCTTCCTCCTCTTGGTTCTAATTCTTACAACATCACTAATGTGAAAATGTGTTTAATAGGAATGTGTGTGTATAGCCTATATCAGATTGTGCACAGTCTTGGGGAGGGAGGTGGGGAAGGAAGGGGAGAAAATTTAAAACTCAAAAGCTTATAGAAAAGTGATTATTGATAAATCAAAATAAATTAATAAAGGAAAAAAAAAGAATAAGATCCTAAAACTTAAATTTGACTGTTGGGGGTGGGGGATAGTAAAGAAGGGAACAAATATTTATTTATATAGCACCTGCTATGTGCTAGGCACTGTGTTAAGTGCTTTTATGAATAATTACTCATTTGATCCTCACAACTACCCTGAAGCCAAGTGGCCAAGAGGTCAAATGACTTGCCTAGGGTTTAGCCTAGCACGTGTCTGAGGCCAAATTTGAATTCAGGTCTTCCCGACTCCAAGCCCAGCACCCTATCCTGCTACCCCGATAGGTCATAATCATCCTTGTTTTTCCAACCTGTGATTTTTGTTATTCAATATGAAGAAACCAGCTCATAGTTCTTAATTTTGTGTGTGTATGTGTCATGAACCCCATTGGCATGCTAGTGAAACCTGTGGCCCCCTTCTCAGAAAAATGTCTTAAAAGGCTTAAAACAAAATACGTAGGATAACAAATTCTATCAAAATCTAGTTATGAAAATTAAAAAAAGTTCATGAACTGCCAGTTAAGAATTCCTGAGTTAAATAGTATAAATGGCTTGTTAACCAGTTTCATAAAGAATAGATATAAAGGTAAGGCATATCTTACCTGTAATTAACTAATGGACAAAGAATTTTAAGGCACATTTCTCCAGTTTTGTCAGTATTTTTTAAAAAAAAACTGTCAAATTACATTTCAGTTTTAAGCACTTCTGAGCATCAGGTAGGTTGAAACATTTTGTTACGACTGCAAAGATAGTGAGACTCTTGTTCTTATAAGTATGAATCTGCTAATCTGCGTTGGGCATATTCCTTCTGCTGTTTCACTTCAGTTACAGCAGTGATTGGGTATTCCATATTTTAAATACAGAATGTTCTTTGAAGGGACTACTTTGACAGTGAACAACCCTTTCTGTGCCTCTGTTTTCTCATCTGTAAAATATCGTAAAGAAAAACTGAGATAATAAATGTAAAGTGTTTTGTAAAATATCAGCAATTATTAATAAATTTTTTGTTTAAAAAGCAGTAATCTTGGAACACAAAATCATTATGCTAATACATTTCAAATTAGGAAAATCAGTGAATGTTTAAATACCTGTGCTTTACTCTTCAGTTAGTGTTTAAAGTAAGGTCTTCATATTGTATGTATTTTACCAAAATGATGACCTGGGATTTCTGGGAATATTTGGGGCAATTAAGGATTGATAAGTTGTTTGGTCATCTTCTGGGAAGTCCTTTATAATCAAGTGAGGAAAGTGGAATAAGCATTTTTGTTCTGGTGAAGTCACTCCAAGGCACCATTTTTTTCCAGTATGTTTGCACATTCATTGGAAAGAATTGTAGAGATACAATGCCATCTTTGATTTTTTTTTTTTTGACCTAAATATTTGGCTGCTCCTGTCCTCAATGCATCCATCGCCCCATAATATTTTCCCAGTTCCTTGAAGACAGTCTATTTAATTCCACCCATGGAAATAACTTTAGTTAAGGCCAGCCCTACTGCTGCCTATTTTCATAAAATCTCTGATACCTCCCTACTTAAAGTAATCTTTGGGAGCTTGGGCAATTCCTTTAACTTCTCTAACTTTCTTCATCTGTGGAAGGAAGGGATGGGATTAAAAGATCTTTATAATGTCACTTCCAACTCTGAAAGTCATTTGAATACTTTCTTTAAATTTTCTTGTAGCATTTAGTTGGATCCTTCTTTATCTATCACATTTTACCTATTACATTCACTTAGGGTCAGGGACTTGACATTTTCCACCTTTGCATCTCTGGAATCCAGCACATACCTGGCAAATAATAAGTGCTTAACAAAAACCCACAGAGTTCCGTGATGTTTTGAAGCAGCCTTTAAAACAGTTTACAAAGACAAATTTTAATTGGTGGTCATGGAAAAAAAAAAAAACTCCCAAAGATAAGTGTGAATTGTAAAGAAAGATTAAAATTTTCAAACATTTTTGTATTGAAGTTTGGAAAAATAAAATGTGATATGTGTATATAAGGATAAGAATGTACTCTTATGGCATGCCATTAAGGTTGAAAGTCATATGAGTCTTTAGGGGAAAAAAAAACACTTATTCATTACCT